TCCCAAAACACACCTATAACTAGGCCCACATAGAATTTGAGCGTGCAGAATTCTGCAGATTTTCGCACATTTTTAGCACATTATTGATTCTGTTTATTTATTTGTGTAAATGTGTGTTAATTTATGTATTAATTTTTTAAATTCATTTCAGTAATATTATTGACTAATATGAAAATGTTCATATAATTTTTTTACAATACAGTTTGTACAATACTAATAATATTTTCTGTCTTTTAGTAGAGATATTATATGAGAGGCTTGCTTTGTTTACCAAATAAAGTGGACCTAATTGGATTTACATCGTAAACATTTAATACAAGTTTTAAAATGACATTTTAGTTCATATATTAGGGTTTTAGTTATGATACTTCCAAAATAGTTCTGCACAAATCCGCAGATTTTTAACAAAATTCTGCACAGAAATAGTAAAAAATGTTTGCCGATTCCATCTGGCCCTACCCATAACTCATTAAGAGAATAAGCTCAACCCTGTTAGACCATGCGCTGCGGCGCAGAGCAAATTTTTCCATTTTTAAAATAGCAAAAGTGGATTCGGACAAACCCTTAATGCTTTAGACTTTGCGCCTAGATTGTTAAAATAGAGCCCCCATTCTTGTCTTACGCCAATTTTAAAACCTTTTTTGATACACTTAAAATGTTGACTACTATAGTCTGTCTTTGGTTATGTGTATAGTCAGCCATTTATAGTACACATAGAGCTTATTTACCTCTCCAGTATGTTAGTATAGATTTACAATAACTCTGACGTTTAGTCTTGAGTTCATATTTATAAATTATTTATTTATTAGAAAAACACAAGATTTAACTACGTTTTATGTTGTGCAAATTGACAATAAAGCTCAAAATGACTTGATTTACATACCGACAGCACCTATTGGAAGAAGTTTCACAGCATGTCTTCTTATTGCCATGATACTGCATAATCTCCTTTTCAATATGAGAGAAAGATATCCGCCAGCTCTCTGAAAAAGAGCCACTCAAATATATCAGTTATCTATGCTCTGGAAAATGAGGCATGATTGCCATGCCTGAATTTGTACAATCCTAGTATACCTTTAGCATCATCACTGAGGTTTCTTCCTTTCGGTCTTTTTGGGATGAAATACACAGCCTTACTTACAAACTGGCGGCGACATTTCTTTCCAAGCCATTGGTCTACATTGGGACCGGCCCGCGCTGCTTGTGGCCAGCCTTGTGGCACCTCAAGAGTGGGCACAATATCCACAGACATCACTTCATCTGCTTTCTCTTTAGATGTATATTCGAGGGTCACCGCTGGCGAGTTGACCAGTTTTCTGCATATCGTCCAACCTTTACCTGTGAACGAACGGCAGAATTATAGTCTCAGATTTAAATGCTTATTGTGTTTTAAACTTATGAATTAGGTTTAAATGATGATGCATTGACCTGCTCAAAGTGGCACATGTGTATAATGTTACAGAAGATTATTTCTTGTGTTTAAATTATGGTCACAATATAGTCAATTAACTGATAATTTGCTCCTAATTTGAAATTAAAAGTTTTTTTAAGGCAGTAGTTGAGTGTAGTTAGACATATAGAATAAGACCATGCAGAATATATACTTTATAAGTAATAATAAACAGTCAATATCTTAATAATATGCAGGTAATAACCCACTAGTTAATGGTTAGATTATTTCCTTAAACTAAAGTGTAATCCCAAAATACTATTTTATTATATATATTCATTAAAGGGTTTTTAATTTTTTTTTATAAATCACTCAAAAAAACGTAGAATCCACAAAATATTTATTTATATTTTAGATTTAGTCATTAGGCAGATGCTTTATCCAAAGCGACTAACGAATGAAGGAAAAAAGTACTGTACTGTAAACATCAATGTAAAATTCAGTCATTAATTAGGTCTTCAATATTTTTAACACTGATTAGGAATGATTTCTGATAAAGATCACACAAAAGAATTCACTGAAATATATTGCATATGTATATATATATATATATATATATATATATATATATATATATATATACATACACACATATATATATATACATATT